ACACTTGCGCCGAGTCGTTAAAATCATGCGCAACCACACGTAACAGGCGACAGATTCAGCCGTGTACGAGACCGAATCGCTACAGTGCCGAAGTGAGCGAATCTTACCTTGAATTTCGCGAGAATTTGCACTTTCGATTTCTTGTGGTTACATCGCTGTGCTGTCGTGATTTTCGTGAATTTGCTGTTCGAAATGTGTTGGGTGGTGGATTGTGTTTGGCTGCGCTTTTCTGGACTGGACACTTCGAGGGCACACCTGGCGGTACCTTTTTCGCAAGTGATAACAAATAAGTAAATATTTAGTCAAAATACCAAAGTGTACGCGCTGGACACGCCCTGACTGGATTTCAGGTTTCGCGAATATCGCATGCTGGTTGCGATTATGACGGAAGGACGAGGTGTATTTTTGCTATCCTGGATTTGCAGGAGGGGGAATCAGGTCAGGGGTAGTCTTGCGGTGCCACGTGTGGTACTCGTTCGAGATCCAGGATAGGATTAGACTGTCGAATGCGGATTTCTCTCCTGAATTCCGGCACGGCATCAACAACGGCGTCAAGAGCATCGCCCCGAGTGCACGCGATAATCGGCCCTTCTCCGTCTGCGGGGACCTTCTTCCCCCGCCGCACCACCACGTCCCGCCCTCCGCTCATCTTCTCCAGCGCCTGCCAACGCGCCCCGCGTCGACTATCACCGCGGGGACCACTTCCGCTGATGCCATTGCGCGCGGAGCGCAAGAACGTGCGCGGAACGATGCGCGCTACGCGGGGCTAGTTGCGCGATGCAGAAGCGATCTTAGACTGTAGTCCGACCAAACCTACGCAATCCGGAATACTTCCACTTATACCACGTCCTTACTTGGGCGGCCTACTGCAGCCCCCGCTCTCCTCGTTCTCGGCCCACCAATTGGAGAAAAACCCTCACGAATTCGTGTTCCACTGTGTTCCGTTCCGTCCTCGGATCTTGCCATCGTCCCTTTTTCCGACGTTGCGACTCAGTAAGTAGAACGTACAAGAAGTATCACCGCCTGATGGGAAGAGTCGCATTCGACGACTCCCAAGCGCAGAGAATGGGGGAAGCTTCCCCCGCGGAGTCCGCGCCTGCGCAAAGCGCTTCTTCCGCCGACCCCAGTGCGCCGTCCGACGGAGCTGGGCCCCCCGCGGTGATGGCGGAAGCGGCGGAAGACCTGCCGGACCTCCTCATTCAGGTGCGCGGAAGAGTTTTCAATTCGATTCTCGAATCTATCAGACTCAACTCGTCTCCCCGTGTCCTCGCACATTTCTCCCCTCTGTGTCCTCCTCGTCTTCCGCTCCCCTCTTCCCACTACCCCACTGCTACCCCCATCTTGCCCAATTTCCGTTAACCCGCTTTTGGTGTTTTTCCTCCCGTTTTCTCATCTCTCCAGCATTGCAACCGCAAAAGAACACCTCGTAGCTCCTCCTCCCCCCTTCTCCCCGGTCTCCACCGTGACCTCCCCTCGCCTTCCACCCATCGCCCCTCCTTTCTCCCCCACCACGTGCAGGGAGCGCGGTATGGTGACATGGAGGACGTGGCAGCAGCACTGGACGGGGGCGCGGATGCTGGCGTGGCGGATGACGAGGGGCGCACAGGTGGGGGGAGGGGAAAATGGGAGGGGCACAAATGGGGGGAAATGACGGACGCATAAGTGGGGGAGGGGAGATAATGGGGGGCGCACAAGCAGGGGGGGAATGAGAGGCGCACAGATCGGAAAGGGGGGGGTGAGGGGCGCGCAAGTGGGGGGGGGGGAGGGGGAGGGGAGTGAGGAGCGCACAGGTGGGGGAGGGGATGAGGGGCGTACAGGTGGGGGGGAAGAGGGGCGTGCAGGTGGGGCAGGGGATGAGTGCTACGCAGGTGTGTCTTAGGGTTCCACGCACGCGTTAGGGTTGCCTAAAGCCAAGGGGGCCAAAGCTGGGTGCGTAGATTTGAAATCCCCCTCCCGCTCCCCCTTCCCCCCCATCCCCCATCCCCCATCCCCCACCTGGCCTCTTCCGTTTTCTTCACAGTGTGCCATGCGCACATGCAGCGCTGCACATGCCGTAACCTCTTCCCCATAACCCCTCCATGTGCCATGCGTGCGTACATGGCATAACCCTTTCCCACGCCCCCTCCCTGTGCCATGCATGAATGCATGTGTGCATCACTGCACATGGTATAACCCCATCACTGCACATGGCATAAGCCCATCACTGCACATGGCATAAGCCCATCACTGCACATGGCATAAGCCCATCACTGCACATGGCATAAGCCCATCACTGCACATGGCATAAGCCCATCACTGCACATGGCATAAGCCCATCACTGCACATGGCATAACCCCTGTCCTACACCCCCTTCCTGTGACATGTGTGCATGCGTGCATGCATGTGTGTGTGCATGCATGCATGCAGCGCTGCACATGGCAGCAGCCAATGGCCACACAGAGATCGCACGCTTGCTCATCCAACGAGGGGCTGTGAGTGTCTCTTTCCTTCCACTGCCCCCCTCCCCCTTAGCCCTCCCCCTTTGGCCCACCCCTTCCCCCCTTTACCCACTGTCCTGCTGATCTACTAAGGCACCGTGGTCCATGAGTTCCCCTTGCTGCGCTACTCCACCCGGCTGTCCACCAGCCCTGCTGCAATGACTGCTAATGCGCCTCCCTCCCTGCTGTCCGTTCCTTCTGCCTCTAATCCATGTGAGCCGCATGCCCCTCCCGTCTATGCTCCTTCCCACGCTGAACCCTGTACACCCTGCGCCCCTTGCACCCACCCACACCGCAACCCTTGAACCCTGCACCCGTGTCTTTCAGCCGGTGAATGCAGTGAACCAGCAGGGCAACACACCACTACACTGGACGGCTGTCAATGGCAGGGACTCGGTGAGTGCAGGGCGGAAGGGGGCAGGTGGGTGGGTGCAGGGGCAGGTGGGCGCAGGGGCAGGTGGGGGGGGGAAGCAAGGGAAAACCTTCGTATTCTGTGCGCCGACTGAGTGAAGCTTGCTCCTTGTGTTGCCATGGTCCATGCATCATCACCAATGCACATGAGGTGTCGCTCGTCCTTTCCCCTGGCCCACACACCCCACTTGCCAACCAACCCCATCACATGGTGCATTTGCTCGTTTCTGCCGAAACCAGCCCTTCCGCCCTTTTAGTTGCCTCAACATACTATACCCCTCACAACCCCACACACGCACACCACCCCACACCACCCCGCCCCACCCCACGTCTTGCCAATTCCATCCGATGGTGCATCTGCTCATCGCTCCCACCTCTTCGCCATTCGACCTCAGAATGCCCCTCACAATCCCCACACGCAACCCATCCCACCCCACCACACCGCTTCCCACCCCCTCTCCCACCCCATCAGATGGTGCATTTGCTCATCGCTGCTGGAGCCAACCCCTCCGCCCTCAACAGGTAACCCCCTTCCTCCCCTCACTCTCCTCACACCTCCCCGCCTGCTGCTCACTCCGACTGCTGCAACCCACCACATCCAATGCTGCTTTCTGCTACCCATCCCCGATCTCTGTAACCATGCAGTCGTCTTTTGTTGATGGGGTAAAAGCCTATTATACCCCAGGCTGTAAGCGTGCGCAGAACATGACAGCCCTCCCATTTGCCGTTCCCCATTTCGTGGTTCCCCCACCTTCCTTCCTATCCCTCCGACCTGTCTTCCCTAAATCCCAAACGCCCATCCTTCCAGTCATGAGCGCACGCCAGTGGACGAGGCGATTCACAGCAACAATCAGCACACCCATCAACGCCGCTCTTGCCAACTGCTCTTCTCAACCATGTGTTTTTTACCTCGGACCCCAACCCCAACACTATTTCCAATCCCCAGTCATGAGCGCACGCCAGTGGATGAGGCGATTCACAGCAACAATCAGCACACCCTGGACGCCATCAATGCTGCTCTTGCCACCCGGGATGCTGCGAGCTTGTCTGTAGGGGGCAGTCAAGGGGATGACACAGGGGGTGATGGGGATGGGGGGGATGAAGCCACGGATATCATGGAGTGACGTTCTTCTCAAGGAAAACATTCTGGGAGTTGGTTGAAAGATGAGCACACTCTGTAGATGTGGATGCCATCAGTGCCGCCCTTGCTACCCGGGATGCAGAGAGCTTGACCCGTAGCAGGCAGTCAAGGGGATGACACAGGAGGTGATGGAGATGGGGGAGATGAGATGAAGCAAGGGAGGTGATGGAATAAAGGGTCCATGGACTTGACTGTAATGAGCGGTCAAGGTGATGGCATGGCACCACCTGCAACAGGGATGGTTGAGGTGCTGCAGCTAAGATCGTGGAGTCAACGAATTTCAGTAGGTTTCCGTCTTGGCAGCTTGGATGTTGAAAGCCAAATACGGTAGGAACGGATGAGATGTTTTTTTCACAACAATTGTACAGGTAACAGTTTTGTTTTACATCGTACAATACTGTACGGTATGAACACTTGCCTTCCCTTGTGCCGGAACTCCATCCTGTCAACCTCCATTCAACCCACTATCAATTAAATGTGATGAAACTGGTGATCTCAAACTGTCTAGAGACGTCACAGGGCACATTTCTATGTGGCCACAGAATATGTTGCAATGAAGCACTCACTGTACTGTACCACATACTGGTACTCTTTGGCCCACCACACAACATTCCTGTGCTATATTACCGGTACCCTACAATTTCCTCCCTATTACAAGGGTGTGTCTCTATATTGATTGGCCATAAACTCTACAGATACAGGTACGGTACTCTTCTCACAACTTTATATGCACCACCATCATGCTACTGTGCAGAATGCCCACGCAGATGAATATTCCTGCTACCATACGAGTAATGCAGGGACAGATGTGAGAAATACTCCTAGTAGTGCATTCCTGTGCATGTTAGTATGATACTCTACAACTTGGCCCTTCACCTTCACCATCACCATCACCATCAGCGGTACTCTCCTTCATTTCTTCCCCTTCCCAGCAGCTCTATCACTCACACCTCCTGTTGCTGCTGCACCCTCATGCTGCTCTTGTGCCCTCAACTGCAGCAGCAGCACCTGCTGTGGCTGTTGCGGCTGCAGCCTCATGTGCTGCCACAAGAGCGTCAATCCGTTTGAACTGCCACGGCCACGCCACGTTGTACAGGAACTGCCGCAAATCAAACCGGTTGTCCTCCGGGGAATAGTTCTGCCAGAGGAGGGTAGGATGGGGAAAGGCGGAAGGGAAGGCAAGGAAGGTGAGCAGACAGGCCTTGACATTGCCACGCGGTACAGGAATTGTCGCAGAACAAACCGGTTGTCCGCCGGGGAGAAATTCTGCCGGGAATGTGGTCGGGTGGGAGGGGACGGCAGGAAGGGGAAAGGCAACGAAGGTGGGGAGTGTGGCCATGACTCGCTTTACGGGAACTGCCACAGATGAAAGCGGTTGTCCTCTCAGAAGTAGTCCTGGAAGTTTAAGGGGAGAAGGGGGAGTGGGGGATTGCAGGGGTGGAGGAGCAAGGAAGGTAAAGAGTGAGACCACCACATGCTGCATGGGAACTGCCACATGCTGCATGGGAACTGCCTCATGCTGCATGGGAACTGGCACATATCGAACAGTTGTCGTCAGGAGAGTGGTTCTGAGGAAAGCAGGCATGGGAGAAGATATTTGGTGGGCGGAGGCAAGGAGGGCGGGGAGTGTGGCCATGGCACGTTGCATGCACCGCGACTGTTGCAGGGACAAGCAGAGGTCCCTGGGTGAGAAGGTTTGCATAAAGTGGTGGGGGGGAGGGGAAAGAAACAGGGCAATCAGTCGACAATGAAATAGGAGGATGTGAAAGCGTGGATGAAAGCACATGGATGATGCATTGTGAGACAAGCGTTGTGACTGTGGAACTGGGGATGTCAGTGGGAATCAAAGATGCTTCATGAGAGAACAAGGAATGAGAGTTTAGGAATGAGAGAACAATGGGGGTGAGGAAGCGGGGCATGGTGAGAAGGTGAGGGAGAGAGGGACGGAGTGAGTGAGGGGGCACCTGAGCATGATAGGAGGGGGTAAACAAGTGAGGAAGTGAGAGAGTGGAGGAGTTCGCACCTCAGTGTGGTACGAGGGCGTGAGAGTGGTCACCTTGTGGCGGTTGACGGAGTAGAAGCGGAAGATGCTTTGACAGACAAGAACGAGAGGCTTAGGGTCCACAGTAGGAGGGCGTGAGCGTGGTTACCTCAGCATGGTAGGAGGGCGTGAGCGTGGTCATCTTGTGGCGGTTGACGGAGTAGAAGCGGAAGAACGCCTTCACTTTCGCTGCTACCTCCGCCACTGACAGCCTCTGCCGCCACTCGTGGCACAGATGCTGGGAGAGAGAGGGGGGTGGGGTGGGAGGGGAAGAGGGGAAGGGGGGTGGGAGAGGGGAGCAGGGGAGAGAGGAGAACTAGTGGCCACCCCCGCCACTGTCAGCCGCTGCCGCCACTCGTGGCACAGGTGCTGGGAGGGGGGGTGGGGGAGAAGAGGGGTGGGGAAAAGAGGTGGGGGAGAGGTGCGGTGGAGGGAAGTGAAATGCCACCTCCGCTTCTGCGAGGGGGGAGGGGGGTTGCAGGAGAGGTGTTGAGGGTAGCAGCTTGGACTTTGTGCAAGAAAGAGGGCCACCGGGCGTCTGGAACACACATCATTCACAATGCATTGCATGCAAGCCGACTACTATCACACGCACCTGGAACACACATCAGGCATGACACATACATTCGCACTAATACTGCACGCACCTGGAACATGGCGACAGGTCCGCAGCGCATGACCTTGCGCAGGCGGCCGTACAGGGAGAGCTCCTCGTAGGTCATGCCCATGTCCACCTCGTCCACCTGTGCGTGACATGGTGTGGTGTGGTGAGGTGTGGGAGGGGATGGGGTTTCGTGGCATGGGAGAAGGAGAGAAAGACATGTCTGGAACTCCCATGTCCACCTCGTCCACCTGTGTGGCACGTGGCAGGGGATGGAGGGGTGGCATTGCATGGCATGGCATGGAATGGGACGGGACGGGACGGAATGGGATGGGGATGGGACGGGATGGGATGGGATGGGGATGGGGATGGGGATGGCATGGGATGGCATGGCATGGGATGGCATGGGATGGCATGGGATGGGATGGGATGGGATGGGATGGGATGGAATGGGGTGGTATGGCATGGGATGGCGTGGCATGGGATGGGATCTGCATTCTGCACTCTGCAATGCAGTGTATATCACCTCCTCTGCACAGTGCCAATCTGGCCTACTCTGATTGGCCCACCTGCACGTAGTCCGCTCTGATTGGCTCCAGCTCAGCGGTGGGCGGTGCGGCCTCGACATCGGCCAATGAGGCGAAGCCAAGGTGGATTGCCGCCCAGCGCAGGAAACGGCGGAGGTCCGTCTTGCTGATTCCACCAATGGGGTTGATGTCTGCACTGCTGCAGTCGTACTGATGTGGGAGGAAGGAGGGGAATGCTTGTGAGAATCGTGGTTGAACGGAAGGCAAAAAGGGGTTTGGATGAAGACTTAATCGTTACCCTGGTGAGCAAGACGGCCATGGCACATGCATACGCACCTTAGTGAGGTCCCATCTCATAGCCCTCGTCCCCATCGGCACTGCCCAGCACGAGCAGTTGGATTGGTGGACCAGGGATGGTGACTGTGGTATGCCGTGCATGCTCCCTCTATATGCACGCGTTAGTGACTGCCCCCCATCATCTCACTCACCTTAGTGAGGTACCCTCCCAGACCTCGTCCACATTGGCGCTGCCCAGCACGAGCAGTTGAGTTGATACAGCAGTGATCACTGTGACGTGCACTTGGCATTGCCCACCCCCTCCTTGCTCACTGCCCTTATCACAACACACCTTTGTGAGGTATTCTCTCAGAGCTCAGCTCCCTCGTCCACGTTGCGCTGCCCAGCACGAGCAGTCGACTCGATACATTAGTGGTGAGGTGACTCTGATACGCCGTGCTCCCACCCCATTGAAAGCACACCTTAGTGAGGTACCCCCTCAGGGCCTCGTCTACATCGGCACTTCCCAGCACGAGCAGTGAAACAGCTGTATCAGAGATGACTGTAACATGCCATGCACCCATTCCATTCCATCATAAGCACACCATAGTGTGGTACCCTCTCAGGCCCTCATCCACATTGGCGCTGCCAAGCATGCAATGCTCCCTCTACACTGCTTCACCTTCTTGAGCCATAAATTAGACATGCTCAGTCCAAGCACACCTTGGTGAGGTATCCTCGCAGCCCCTCGTCCACGTTGGCACTGCCCAGCACGAGCAGAAAGCCCCCTCCGCTCCCCCGCTGCTCCGACCCGCCTCCCCTCCCCTTGCCCCTCTCCAACACCCCTTCCGCCGGCACCTTCTCTTCTCCCCATCCCCCCCCTCCTCCCTCCTCCCCTTCGCCTCCCTTTTTCTGCCCATCGGCTGTGCTCTCCTTCCGCCCTCCTCTCCCCCCATGGCCGCGCACCCAGGGCAGCAGCTGCGCAAAGAGGAAGGCCAGCACCATGCGCAGGCGGGCTTGAATGTTCTGCAGGGCCAAGTTTTCCGCTGATGTGCCTCCGTCCAGCTGGGAGGATGGGGGAGGGAGGTGGAAAAAATTGGGCATGTCAAGTCAAGGGGAGGCGAAGAGGAAGGCGAGCAGCATGCGCAGACAGGCTTGTATGCTCTGCAGAGCCAGGTTCTCCAATAATGTGCCTCCATCCAGTTGGGGTGGGGGGGGGAGGGAGAAAGTGGAGAACGGGAGGGAATGGGCATGCAGAGACAGCGAGACGTGAAGTGGAGGGCGAGCAGCATGCGGTAGACGCCCAGACCTGGCATCCGTCGCACGAAGCGAAGATGCTGCTGAACGAGTGGACATTCCCTGATGTCTGTCGCCTCGACGACGTCTACAGGACCAAGGTGCAGTCTCAAGTCCCTGGCGAATCCAAAGGCAGTCTCGGAACGTGGGAGGGCCATTCAGAGGTGTCGTTTGCTGCTGTCAGGAATGCAAAATCTTGCGCCAAGTTCATATTTGAGTGGAAGCATCACACTGCGGAGCGTGTGATGCTTCCACTCAAATATGAACTTGGCGCAAAGAATTGTCTTTCTGGCAGCAATACACAACGCCTCCGAATGACCCTCCCACGTTCCGAGACTGTCTTTAGTTTTGTCAGGTACTCAAAACTGCACTTCGGCCTTGCAGCCATCGTCGAGGCGACAAACACCAGGGAATGTCCACTTGTTCAACTGCATCTTCGCTTCGTGCAATTGGTGCCAGATCTGGGTGGCTACCCGCTGCCCCTTCTGCAAAGCAACGTTCTCTGTCGATGTACCTCCGTCGAGCTAGGGGGGGAAGGGGGGAAGTCGGGGGAGAAGGTGGGGTGAGAAGGGAAACGGGGAGGGGAGGGAAGGGACATGCGCAGGCGGGCTGGAATATTCTGCTGAGCGGGGTTCTTTGCTGATGTGCCGCTACCCAGCTGAGATGCGGGGGGGGGAGAGCAGAGCGGAACCAGATGGGAGGGAGAAGCTGGGAGAAGAGGAATGGACGTAACGAAAAAGAGACGAGGAGATGCGAAGAGGAAGGCGAGGAGCATGCGGAGAGGTGCGCTTGGATTGGACGGGAAGCGAGGTTCTTTGCTAATATGCTTGCCTCTAATTGTGTGGGGGGGAGGGGCTGAGGGAGAAACGGGGGGGAATGGAAATCAGAGGCAAAAACGGCCCTTGCTTCTGCAACCTTCCGAGGTAACAAATTTAATTCAGGTAAATGAGGGGGATGGCTAGTGCTAGCTCACTAGTGCTCACTAGTGCTGCAAGAAAGGTTATTGCACGGAGGGTGATAGCAAGGAAAGCAATCCAGCAGGCCCCACCTTGTAGTGCGGGCGCAGGCCAGTGACAGTGAGAAAGAGCGCCACGACAGCAGCAACCACGGAGTCAATGCTCGTGTCTAGATGCCACGCTCCTATCTCCGATGCCAGCTGCTTCGCTCTTGATCGTGTGGCCTGCGAGCTGTATGCGAGAGGGTGAGAAAGGAGAGATGGGGATGAGAAGAGCGCCACGGCAGCAGCGACCACGGAGCCAATGCTCGTGCCTAAGTGCCATGCTCCTATCTCCGATGCTAGCGGCTTCGCTTGTGATCGCGTGGCCTGGGAGCTGTATGTGTGAGGGGGTGAGGGGGAGGAAAGAGGGACACAGAGCAGCGACCACGGGAGTCAATGCTCGTGTCTAAGTGCCATGCTCCTATCTCCGATGCCAGCTGCTTCGCTCGTGATCGCGTGGCCTGGGAGCTGTATGTGTGAGGGGGAGGTGAGAGGGAGGGGAGGGGACAGCCACGACAGCAGCGACCACGGAATCAGTACTCGTGTCCACATGCCACGCGCCTATTTCCGATGCTAGCGGCTTCGCACGTGCCCTTGTTGCCCGAGAGCTGTGTGTGTGAGGGGGTGAGGGGGAGGAAAGAGGGACACAGTCATAACAGCAGCGACCATGGAGTCAATGCTCGTGTCTAAGTGCCATGCGCCTATCTCTGCCGCTAGCTGTTTTGCTCATGCCCTTGTTGCTTGGGAGCTGTGTGTGAGAGGGGGAGGTGAGAAGGGGATGTGAGAAGGGGGGAGAAAGGAAGGAGAGAGGGGGGTGAGAAAGAGAGCCACAACAGCAGCGACCACGGAACCTATGCTCGTGTCTAAATGCAATGCTCCTATCTCCGATGCTAGCTGCTTCGCTCTTGTCCTTGTTGCTTGGGAGCTGTGAGTAAGGAGGGAAGGTGGGAGGGAGGAGAGAAGGCGAGCCATCAGCGGGCACTGCGGCATTTGGTGCTCGTGTCTGCACTTCTAAAGACGGTATGAGAAGGGAATATGGGGGTTATGAACAGACCAGTTCTCCATGCCCATGTAGATGGTGTGAAGGATGCGGTCTGCCAGCCTGGCTGGCAGCACGCCAACTTCTGAGGCGCCTCACAAGTAAAAAATAAAATAAAATGAGGCGCCGAATATGTACGAACGGACCTATTCTCCGTGCCCATGTAGATGGTGTGCAGGATGCGGTCTGCCAGCCTGGCAGCATGCCGCTTCTGCTCCTCTGCTGCCGCCCCTGCCGCCAGCTGTAGCCCCGTGATTCGCTCTGCATCCTGCTGCACCTGCTCGTCACCCTCGGCAATCGCTGTGAGAAGGCAACATCGGGGAGAGAGGTGGGTGTGAATGTGATTCGTTCTGCAGCCATTGCACTGCACGGCTCTGCTCGTGCACGGCCTTGTGCTGTATGCACCCACGGACCAGCGGCACAGCTGCATCGCCCAGACACTGCACAGCACCGCACTGCACCTTTTGCACCCCAAGCAAGCATGCACTTCAAGAGCAAACCTTTTGCCACCAGCTGGCACATGCACCCTACAATGGCGGTCACAAATGAGCTGTCAGCAGCAAGGCAGAATAGCACCCCACAGCACCTCATAGCATCACATTGCACCGCATCACACCCCGCAGCACCCCACAGCACCACTCCACACCTTCCGCCACCAGCTCGCACATGCACCCCACAATGGCGGCCACAAATGAGCTGTCAGCACCGCCAGATAGCATAGCAGCTCATAGCACCCAATCGCACCCCATAGCACCGCATCACACCTTTAGCGACCAGCTGGCACATGCACCCCACAATGGCGGCCACGGATGAGCTGTCAGCACCGCCTGACAGCGGCAGCAGGAAGCCCGAGGCCCCGCTGCGCCTCAGGTAGTCCCACAACCAGCACGCCGGGCCCAGTGCTATCTCCTCCTCTGGGCAGTGGTAACGGATCTGAGAAGAAAGGAGGGGCATGGAAGGCGGGAAGAGAGGCACTTTGAAGCGGGTGGCCCCGCTGCGCCTGAAATAGTTTCACAGTCAGCACGCCGGGCCCAGTGATATCTCCTCCTCTGGACAGTGGTAGCGGATCTGGTGGCGGGGCGGGTAAGGGAGGCAGCATGAGAGGTAGGAGAACGTCTGTGAAGGAAGCCAGAGGCCCCGCTGCACTGCAGGTAGTAGTCCCACAGCCAGCACGCCGGAACCAGAGCGATTTCCTCCTCGGGGCAGTGGTAGCGGATCTGGTGGTGCGTGTGCGGCAGGGAGGAGGAGAGCAGCAGAGGAAAGAGCAGGAGTCCAGGAGAGCATGAGAGGGAGGAGAGAAGGAAGCCCCAGGCCCCACTGCGCCGCAGGTAGTTCCACAGCCAGCATGCCGGGCTGAGAGCTATCTCCTCTTCAGGGCAGTGGTAGCGGATCTGGTGGCAAGGGATGGGAGTGGGATGCGAGCGTGAGAGCATGAGGGAAAGGAGTGGGACGACAGAGAAGAAGAGGAGCAGAAGGAGAGCAGAGAGAGCAGAAGGAGGTTGGGGAGGAGAGAAAGAGAAGAGCGGAAGGAAGGGTACCTGAATGGGGTGGGAGGTGGCGAGAGAAAGGCTAGCCGAGGACGGATGGCAGATGGAGATATCGGAGGGAATGCGCACGATGGGCGGGGCGGGAGAGGCGGAGGATGAAAACGCTGGGAAGGAGGCGGATGGTGCTGGGGCAGAGGCTGAGGCCTGCTCCCTCAGGCTGCTGATAGCTCCCCTGTAGCTCGCCACCTGGAAAAGTGCAAAGGGTAGGAGGTTTGAGGGGCAGGGGTGGAGTGAGATGAATGAGAGGACGAGAGGGAAAAGAGATAGGCTGAGCCCTGCTCCCTCCGGCTGCTTATGGCGCTCCTGTAGCTTGCCACAGGGGCGCACCTTGAGAGGCAGGCGCACCTTGAGAGGTTTGAGGGGCAGGATAGGCATGGGAGGAATGAGATGAATGAGAGGATAAGAGGAATACGGGGGTGAGCGGGAAAAGAGAAGAGAGAGGCTGAGGTCTGAGCCCCCAGGCTGCTGATAGCGCCCCTGTAGCTTGCCACCTGGAGGGGCGCACCTTGAGGGGCAGGCGAGAGGAGGGAAGTGGTTTGGGAAAGAAGAGCGCATGCAGCACTACAGAGAGTGGTGGCCGAGAGGGGCCCTGAAAGAGGTGCCACTGATCCATGCACGCTAGCAGCCTGGACCCCTTGCACGCGCACGGCAAGATGAGGCATGGGGAGACGAGTGCATGCCGGCATGCAGTCATGGGGGTGGTGCACGATAACACGCAAGAATACACGGTGATCCACACATAACTAACGCCGGCGTATTGAGCGGCGAATTGAACGTGGATTATGTGGGAGGGGGATGAGGATGGCAAAGAGGCAGGAGAGGAGGAAGGAAAAGGGGCAGGTGATGAGGAGGGTGTGATGGAGGACGTAGTGGTCAAGGAAGGGGATGACGCAGGAGAGGACGAAGGATAGGGGGCAGGTTGTGAGGAGGAGGATGTGGTGGAGGGTGTAGTGGCATAGAAAGACAGATTCGACCTGGATCCAACAGGTAACTCGTCCTAATCAAGTAATTCGTCTTAATCTCCTTCTAGGCTGAGCTGAGCTTAGGCTAGTAGGGATAGAATAGATAAGAAATCGTTTATTCAAACCTGAGCGTACGCGCGTTTCGGCCGGTGGCCTTCATCAGCGCTCTCAGAGTTACATGAAAGAAACTACTCCTTATCTACTCCCATCTACCGTGCCCCACACTCAACCAAGAAACAAGAAATCCAGTGCGGCTCGTCATCGCGGCCCGCTAGCTGGCTGTACAACATTTACAATGTCATTCACACATGCAAGTTGGTGGGACGAATTCAATCCCATCAACTTACGGGGTTGGTGTATCCCCGTTTCTGAAACCTCGCTTTCACCAAGAGGTTACGTATCCTCTTTGGTAAACGCCAACACACTAACATTCGTGGGAGGGAAATTTGTTGCAGCGCATGTTTTTTGAGAATTCTCAAAAGGCAGGAGAGGACGAAGGATAGGGGGCAGGTTGTGAGGAGGAGGATGTGGTGGAGGGTGTAGTGGTTAAGGAAAAGGATGAGGAAGGGAAAGGGGCAGGAGAGGAGGAGGCGGATGTGGTGGGGGGCGAAGACGAAGGACCCCCACCGCTACGCCCCCCACCACATCTGCCTCTTCCTCTCCTGCGCCACGCTCCTTCCTCATCCCCATCCTGAACCACTACCCCGTCCATCACTCTCTTGCCCTTTCTCCTTCCTCATACACCTCCTGAACGTTTTGTTCCTCCACCTCCTCCTCGCCCTCCTCTCCTGCCCTTTCTCCTTCCTCATCCTCCAGTCCTCCACCAGCCCTCACAGCCACAATGCTCCCTCCCAAACCCATCCCTCCTTGTTCCCCCTTGCCAACCCCCCCCCCTTCCGTCCTTGCACTTCCGCCCCATTTCGTCAACCCAGGCGGACAAGATTGCCCAGGCTCTGCACATGTAAGCAGATAATGATAATGCACAGAATGCACATAATGAACATGTCATCCCCATTTCTGCACATTGCCTGGCTTTTCATCGCGGAGATGCTCCACACGGCTTACAGTAATTATGATCGTCAGGTAGCGCAGATACTCCATCGCTTCCTGCATCACCATCTCCCTGCCCGCTGCTGCCCACTGCTGCCCACTGCTGGAAGCCATGCGCCTTCCCCTCCACACCTGGTCCCCTCCCCTTACCCAGGATGTCTACCCCTCTAGCTACCTGAGGCACGGCCCATGTGCTTGCGCCTGCTCCTGACAGGAGCCACGTTGTAAGTCACGCTCAATAAGCTGACGTTACTTATGACATCTTGGCCATACCTCTCAATCACAGCCGTGCAGGAATACGCAGGTAACACACCGTAATGCAAAGTCAATTCCAGTGATGCCGGGGACCAAGTTCGCCAGCTTCAGGCACTACTTGGTGCAGTCCTTATTAGCTCAAGTCAACTCAAGTCAATGCAGCTGGTCAGCTCAAGTCAACTCAAGTCAATGCAGCTGGTCAGCTCAAGTCAACTCAAGTCAATGCAGCTGGTCAGCTATAGTCAACGCACCTGGTCGAGGTCCACTGTAGCGGTTACCACCTCGACGTCAGCCAATGAGAACTGCGATCCCTGCGCCACCACCTGCCCATTCACCACCACCATGGCACACCCGTCTGATGGCGGAGTTGACGAAGGGAAGAGGAGGGGGAGACGAAGGGAAGAGGAGGGGGAAGCGGAGGGAGAGGAACAGGAAGACAAAGGATTTGAGAGTTGAGACGTCTCAAAACTTCAGAACTGAGACCCCTGTGCCACCACCATGGCACATCCGTCTGATGGCGTTCAATTCAAAGGGGTTGGGGAAGGAAATAGGAAGACTAGGGAATAGGAGGAGCGCATAAGGGAACGATGTGTTGTGTCACCTCAAAATCAAACACAATCACAAGCACACCCCGCCCCCTCTCTTAGGTCACGAGCACTGTACCCACCATAGTACAGCTGTCCACCACACCCCTTCTAGATCGCGTATAGTTACACCCCGCCTGCCTTGCTGGTCGCTGCTTGGACAAGCCCCACACGCGTGCCCAGCTTGCGTAGCTTGTGGTGGCTGCCGCTGCCACTGCTGACAGCCGAGTAACAAACAGAGCAAACTCACCATAGTACAGTCGTCCACCATCGCACCACTTCTGGTTGCCACTGCCGTTGCCGTTGGCGACAGCCCAGCCCATCCTCTTTTCAAGCCACAGGCACAGCACACTCACCATAATAGAGCCTTCCGCCGTCGCACCCCTTCTGGTTCGCGTAAAGATACACCCCGCCTGCTTTACTAGTTGCGGACTGAACAAGCCCCACGCGCGTCCCCAGCTTGCGCAGCTCGTGGTGGCTGCCACTGCCATCGCCCACCCACCTTTCAGGTCAAAAGCATGGCACACTCACCATAGTACAGCCGTCCACCGTCGCACCCCTTCTGGTTGGCATACAGGTACACCCCGCCTGCTTTGCTGGTAGCAGATTGCACAAGCCCCACGCGGGTCCCCAGCTTGCGCAGCTCGTGGTGGCTGCCACTGCCGTTGCCCACCACCTCTGCTCCTGCTAGTGCCGCTCGGATGTGCGGCGCTAGAGGGGTGAATAGCTCCTCACACGTCTCACTCGCCAGGGTGCTGCAAGTGAGGGATGAATGGGAAGACAAGTTGGGCGCAGATAGCAAACACGAGGCGAGGAGCCAACAAAGTGAGTCCGCTGCCGTTGCCCACCACCTTTGCTCCTGCTAGTGCTGCTCGGATGTGCGGCGCCAGAGGGGTGAATAGCTCCTTGCATGTCTCGCTCGCCAGGGTGCTGCGAGTGAGGCAAGACAAGGGGCGAATATGATACACTGCGGAGGAAAGAGAGGTGCAATTGATGTCGTTGCCCACCACTTATGCCCCTGCCAGTGCTGCTCGGATCGGATGTGCGAAGCCTAAGGGATTATTAGCTCCTCGTCACAGGTCTCACTCACAGAAGTGCTGGGAGGGAGACCAGACGAGGTTGAGCACAATACATACACGATGAACAACACAACACAAGAAGGCATAGGCGGGGGACTTCGCTGCCGTTTCCCACCACCTTTACTTGCGGAGCGCGGCGCTAGCAGGTGCAGAGGTGAAGACAGCAAGATCACGAGATCCTACCTCCTAGTCCCTAGCTTCTAGCTACCATACCAGATCAGTTGACAAACACGGCAATTGCATGCCATTGATTAACCCCAGTGGTCAAGTGCTTGCACGCACGCATGCCATTCATCCAGAGATATAATCACTCATCCAGATACCACCCACCTATACAGATACTATCACCCATCCAGATATCACCTACCCATTCAGATATTTTCACCAATACAGTCATCACCCATCCAGACATACACCCATCCAGATCTAACCCATCCTGATACCCACCTATCCAGCAGATCCAGCACTCCATCCCCAATGGGCACCTCCCGCTGCCCCTCACACGCCGCGGTAACCACCGCTGGTAACCGCACGCTCTCCACCACTCCCAACCGCTTCCACGTGGCGAACCAGCGCGTTTCCCGGTAGTTTCCGTCGTTGGCGAGATCCATCTTGGGTCGCAGCAGCAGGATCCGACGGCTGTGGACGAGCGCGCGGCAGTTGTAGCGCACCCCGCGGTGCTCCACCGGCAGCCCGATGTCACAGAGGATGCCGGCTGTAGCACCGCTTGCAATGATAGCTGCAAGGCATTCCCAGCTGGGGGGGAGGAGGGAGGGAGGGGGGAGTAGAGTATTTCGGTTGTAGCGCACCCCGCGGTGCTCCACCGGCAGCCCGATGTCACACAGGATGCCGGCTGTAGCGCCGCTCTCAATGATGGCGGCTAGACACTCCCAGCTGGTGGCACGGGGGGGGGAGGGGAGGGGGAGGGGGGGGGGTGGGAAGTGGAAAAATTTCCCACAGTGCTCCACTGGCAGCCCGATGTCACACAGACTGCCGGCTGTAGCACCACTTGCAATAATAGCTGCAAGGCATTCCCAGCTGCGGAATTTGGGGGAATAAGGGGGTGGGAGGAGGGAGGGAGTGAAGGGAGGAGAGGGGAGGGATATGCTCCACTGGCAGCCCGATGTCGCACAGAATGCCGGCTGTAGCACCACTTGCAATAATAGCTGCAAGGCATTCCCAGCTGCGGAATTTGGGGGAATAAGGGGGTGGGAGGAGGGAGGGAGTGAAGGGAGGAGAGGGGAGGGATATGCTCCACTGGCAGCCCGATGTCGCACAGAATGCCGGCTGTAGCACCACTTGCAATAATAGCTGCAAGGCATTCCCAGCTGCGGAATTTGGGGGAATAAGGGGGTGGGAGGAGGGAGGGAGTGAAGGGAGGAGAGGGGAGGGATATGCTCCACTGGCAGCCCGATGTCGCACAGAATGCCGGCTGTAGCACCACTTGCAATAATAGCTGCAAGGCATTCCCAGCTGGGAAGGGCGGGGCACAAGAGGAGGGTTGAGCCGGGAAGAGAGAGGGAGGTGAGAGTGAGGGGACGGGGAGAGCAATAGGAAGGGGAGAAGATATTAATGTGCTCCACTGGCAGCCCGATGTCACAGAGGATGCCGGCTGTAGCACCACTCTCAATAATAGCTGCAAGGCATTCCCAGCTGGAAGGTGGGGGGAGAAAGGGGGTGTGAGGCGGGAGTGAAAGGGAAGGGGGGGAGGGATGTGCTCCACTGGCAGCCCGATGTCGCACAGAATGCCGGCTGTAGCGCCGTTGGCGATGATCGCTGCTAGAAAGACACCCTCAGCTGGTAGCATGGGGGAGGGCAGGAGCAGAGGATTCTGGTTGTATTGTGCGCACCCCACGGTGCTCCCCTGGCAGCCCGATGTCGCACAGCATGCTGGCTGTAGCACCGCTGGCGATGATGACTGCAAGGCACTCCCAGCTGGGGGGTTGCGTGGGAAGGTGAAGCGGGAGGGGGAGGGGGAGCGGGAGGGGGAGGGGGAGGAGGAGGTGGGTGAAGCGGGAGTGAAGAGAGATGGGGAAAGCGATATTGGCAGCCTGATGTCTCACAACATGCCCGCCAAAGCGCTACTGGGGATGATGGCGGCTTGACACTCCCAGCTGGCGGCATGGGAAGGGGGTGAGAAGGGGGTGAGCGGAGACTCCCGGTTGTAGCGCAAGCCATGTGCTCCACTGGCAGGCCGATCTTGCATCGCATGCCGGCTGTAGCGCTGCTGGTGGTGATGGCGGCCAGACTCTCACCTCATGGAACGGGGAGTAAGGGGAGGGCGGGGATTGAGGAGAGTGGGGAGAAAGGAGTTTGAGGGGAGTGGGGAGTGGGGAGGAGGAGGGATAGGGGGAGGCTGGAAGTGGAGATCAAGTTCTACTGGAATGTTTATGCCACTTAGAATGACGGCTGTAGCGCTGCCGCTGCTATGCTATCTAGGAATTCGGTCACTACGCCACTCGCGGACGCCGCCATGACGTTGAGCGGTTCGGCAGTGTGGCACGGGTCAGCAGAGAAAGGGAGGTCGATGACCGATGCCACGTGGCAGGGAAGGGCAAGGATGGCAATATTCAATCGGGGACGAAAAGAGCGTGGCGTACGCGTGCTGGCACGTGTCGTGCTCGAGGAAGTGGTCCTCGCAGCCGTAGCCCGTGATTTCTAATTCCGGCCCGATCCGGTACGACGCGCCTCGCGCCTTCGCCTCGCGAATGGACGCGATGATGCGATTTGTGTTACCCTCGAAATCCATCGCCCATTGGTTCAGCGCGCACGTGGCGAGCGTCGCGAGCCTCATGGCGGCAAGGCGGCGGAGAAGATCGACTCACCGCTACTCTCACTCTCACAATGCTTTCTCTGCAGTTCTCCCACTAACTGGCTCACAGCTGACCGAACAAAAACACGTGTCTGCGTGAAATTCGATGAATAGCGGCGTTGTGGTCGAGTATGCAACATTATCCTTGCTACTGAAATTCTCAATACAATTCACGTTACAACTTGCCTCTTCACCCCAGTTGAAATACAGACACACGTTTCTCGGCCCAAAATCTTGAGCCAAAATAAACAAATGCCAGAAAGTGCTTGTATTGGGGTCGGGCCCCCCGCCATTGTCAAAAGCTGTGTGATTGGTTTTCATGTGGCGATTCGTTCGATAATTGCACAACGAGGTGAATCACTCAAGGCGATTCGCATGTGCGCTACGGATTTTGTTTGACGGTGCAATGGAACTTCTGCCAGGAAAATGAAACTTCCGGGTGCAAAGTGTGATGCCCAAGAACGAGGCATTTCCACTTTGTACATCCTTATAAATGCAAGTGAGAAGCTCCTCTTTTGAAGATATTCGAGTAAACATTTCCGAAATGGTTGCAGCTGGGGCATGTAAAAAAAATGTACAGATTCTGGAATGGCTGCCCGAGTGGGAAATAAGCCATCCAGAATTCATCATCCATCATCATCATGCTTGAATTCTTTTCAACCCATCCCATCCCAAACACACCCAACCCAAGCCGCAGGCTGGTTGCATTTGGCTGAACTCGTTCAAATCCTCACCTGTTCGGGATTCTACTTTGAGCCAGCAAGCATCTCAGTTCTACTTGTTAGGCTGCTTCACGCTATCACTTTGTACATCCCCTCACCCAGAGTGAGCATCTTTTCGGCGGAAATTAGTGAAAACATGGAAAGGGTCGAGCTTGAGGATCCCGGCGACGGTGACGCATTGACGGGTAGCATCTCGCTGGTAGCGCAAGAAGATTCGCTGAAAGCCGTGAATTCAGCTGCAAGTTCCCAGAGTGTGAGCGTAGTCCCGGAGACGGAAAACACGAAACCCTCGTTACCGAAGGAGACTGAAGATACGATGATTGGAGGCGAGGAAAATGGAAATAACGTGGAGAAAGATGGGTACGGCGGCGAAGAAAGCCTTTCCGACGGCAATTCGGCGGCCACCGAACCAGCAAAAGTGGAGGAAGATCCAGCGGCAGAAGCGCGAGCTGCCTGCATAACAAGCGACGAGATGGACAACGCGGAGGAGAGCCAACAAACGGGCCACGAGGCGAGCCGCGACGCGAGCGAAGCTTCGGAGGCTTCTGCCGATCCCAATGTGACGGCCCCGACACGTGAATGCGGCGAAGAGCGCGGAGACACGAGCAGCGTTCCGTGTCCAGGAGAGAACTTGGGAGGTGGACTCGAGGAAGCTGCTGGCGTTGAGGTGGACGAGGGAAGCAGCGCGCTGACGCTGGAGGAAGGCGTTGCGGCTGCTGAGGAAGCGTGCGACGTGAGAAAGGTCGTGGAGGACGCGAGCGAGTCGAACAAGGTTGATAGCGAGGAGGGTGCAGCAGCCGAGGACGCTACGAATCAGTGCGACGCATCAGCTGCCGGTGCGACAAATGTTGGCGACGCACCACCTGAAGATGCGACGAATCTGTCCGAAGTTGTTGTCCAGAGCGAGAGCGAGCGCGCTTCAGCTGCCGACGAGATCAACGCGGCGCCAGAGGCGGACAGCGCGTGCAGGGATGGCGCGCTGAGCGGAGGCCCGGCAGGCGCGGAAGAAGCAATCGCAGGCGACGCCGATGCGTGTGCAAACGAAGGAGCCATGGCGGCAGCTGTCGATGCAACAGGAAGCAGCGTGGACCCAACAGATGCGGCTGCGAGCACGGACGAAGCGAGCGAGGCGGATAGCAACGCGGTCAATGCCGACTCAGCTCCAAATACTGTCGCAGGCACAGGCGAGGAAATCATGGGCGAGGCGGATGAGGTGACTGCGACCGGGGACGCTGCGGCAAGCGCGGCACCTGGAGGGGAGACCGCTGCGGCTGGTGAGAACATGAAGGAGCACGAGAACGAGAGCGAGCTTGAGGGTGAGCTTGCTGACGACCCTGCATGCATGGAGGCACAACTGCCGGAGGGCGTTTGCGTGCCGGCCAGTGAGGGGTTAGCAGTCGCGGCAGGGGAGGATGCGGGTAGTGCGTCGGGCGCAGACATGGGGAGCTCGTTGGGCGGAGAGGCGGGGAACGAAGCGCCAGCGGCATTTGCGGAGGAAGCGGCTGGAGAAGCGGAGCCAAACAGCTGCTCGTCAGACAAGAAGACCGACGCGGAAGAGGTGGACGCGAGTGGCGCAGCGCCTGAAGCGGCGCCAGTTGCGGCGGTCAAGGCGGTGAGGTCGGGCGAAGAGGGAGAAGCGGAGGTGGTAGTGAGTGCGGAAGGAGTGACTTGCACCGCGCACGGTGATGACGCGCTTGGCAGCAGCGGCGTTGCGCAGGGTGTGGGGCATGGGCAACATGAGGATGAGAAGGGAGTGCTAGTAGCGGGTGATGAGGAAATTGAGGTAGCTCCTAGCGGGGACGTAGAGGAGACAAACGGAGGTGAGACGATTAAGAAAGATGAGAAGAGCGAAGGGGTAGAAAAGAGTGAGGAGGCGGAGAAGAGTGAAGCGCAAGAGAATGAGGACCGTGGAGATGTGCCAGATGCGAAGGTGGGCGAAGCAATGCCGCGCGAGGAGGCAACGGTTCAGTCGACTGCAGACGCGGCGGTGAGCGCGGACGACGGAGATGGCGCAGAGAGTGGAGATGTCGCGGCGAATGGGGAAAATTACGAAGCGCAAGGGACGCTATGGGCGGACGGCGAGGAAGGGCCAGGCGGAGGGAACACGGCTGCACAAGAGGCGGGAGAGGGCACGGCGAATGCGCACGAGGCGGAGAGGGCGGAAGCGACGGAGGGCGGGGAGAAGGCGGAGGTGGCGAAGGAGGCAGCGGAAGCTGCGGAGGAGGCGGCGAGCGAGGGGCCGGTGGAGGAGCTGCGGGCTGCTGAGGCGGAGAAGGCACACGAGGCGGAGGTGGCGAGGGCGGCGGAGGAGGCGGCGGAGGAGGCGGAAGAGGGGAGCGCGGCGAGCGAGGGGTCGGTGGAGGAGCTGCGGCTGCTGGCGGACGTGCTGGCGCTGATGGACTCGGACGCCTCATCCAACGGCTCCCATCACCCCTCGTCCGCCTCCTCCGATGGCGACTCTGCATCCGACGGCCCAGCGCCTCTTGCTGACGTGGATAAGCATGAGGTAAGCAGACGACGATTAATTAATGAAATTTATGCGCTGACGATATTGCGGGCTGATACACAACCTCTGCTCCCGCCGCCCCTGTGATGGCAGGTTGTTCAGGCGGCGGCAGCTGCCGAGGCGCAGGTGAATGCTCAGGTGGAAGCAGCGGTGAAGGCCCACGTGGCGGCGATCGAAGCGGAAGCCGCCGCCGCCGTTGAGCGGCGCGTCGCCGCCAGCTTGGAGCACCTGACCGCGGAGCTCGAAGCCAAGCTGGCCGTGCAGCTAGAAGAACGTTTAGCTGCCCGAATCGAGGAAAAAATCGCCGCGCGCATGGAAGAGCGGATGGCCGCTGACGTGGCAACGCAGGTTACGGTGCGGCTGGCGGAGATGGAGGCGGAGTGGAAGGAGCGCGCGGCAGGGGGGGCGGAGCACCCGCAGGCCCACGCGCAGGCGCAAGGCGGAGGAAAAGCTCCCGCGCAGGGGCAGGCGGGGTGGCAGAAGTGGATGCTGTGGGGCGCGCGGGAGGATGACTTGCGCAAGCAGGCGGAAGAGGAGCGGCGGAGGGAGATTGCGCGCGTAAAGGAGCAGCTGGAGGAGCAGTGGGGCGCGGAGGTTCACAAGCTGCAGGCGCTCATGCAGGCGGAACGCGCCATCTCCGCGGAGCGCCTGCAGGCGCTGGAGCGGCGCTGGCAGAGCGCGCAGGCGGAGCTGGCGGAAGGCATCCGCGCGGCGCAGGAGCTTGCGGTGATGAAGGTTGCGGCGGTGGAGGAGCGGTGGGGCGCGAAGGAGGCGGGGATGTTGCAGGCGATGGCGGAAGAAATGCAGCGCCAGCTGGCGGAACTCAAGGCGGAGCAGGCGGGGTGGGTGGGGCGCGTGGAGGACATGCGCTTCCGCGTGTCCGCGGAGCTCAAGCAGGCGGAGGGGCGGCTGCACGCGGCGCAGGAGGCGTGGGCGGGGCGGTTGGCGGAGATGCAGGCGCAGGCGGACGCGGGGAGGCTGGCGGACGCGGGGAGACTGGCGGAGATGGAGCGCGAGTGGGAGGGGAAACTGGCGGAAGTGCGGAAACACGTGGAGGAGGAGAGGCGGAGAGGCGTAAAACGGTGCAAAGTGGTGGAGGAAACAGTGGGGAAGAAGTTAGAGGAGAGCCGGCGGGCGGCAGAACTGGAGCTCGAGAAGGCGCTGCAGCGCGAGGCGGAAGCGCGCAAGGAGCAGGCGGAAGCAGCATCCGCGCGTGCCGCGGAAATCGCCGCGCAAGTGGAGGAAGCCGCGCGTCAGGCGGAGGAGGAGCGCAAGCGGAACCTGAAGCGCGCGGCGAAGATCCTCAAAGATTGCGCGGGGAAGATGGAGGCGGTAGAGCTGCGCGTGGCGGAGGCGGAGAAGCGCATCGACGCGGAGCGCAAGGCGCAGCGCGAGGCGGTTGCGCGGATCCACGCGCAGTTCGAGATGATGGAGGTGGCGTGGGGGAAGCGCGTGGAGCAGACGAAGGCGGAGGTGGCGGAGATGCAGGCGGAGGCGCGCGCGCAGCGGCGGCGCGACGAGGAGGCGCTGGGCGCGGTGAAGGCGGAGTGGGCGGACTGGGCGGGGGAGCTCCAGCGGCAGACGCAGGCGGCGCTGGGCGACGACGCGAAGAAACTGGAGCTGCTGGACGAGGTGCGCGGAAGGGGGGGGGAAAGAGGGGAAGGACTTGAGTGGGGAGAGAAGCGGAGACAGGGGCGGGAGGAGCGAGAGGCGAGAGGTGGGGAGGGGGACAGGGGGCGGGTATTGTGGGAAGTAGGGGAGGGGGTGCGTGGGGTGGGGGAAGGGGGGTGAGCGGGGAGAGCGGCGGGTTGAAAGTGTGAGAAGTGGGGAGTCCTGCATATGCCTTGCAACAAGAGGCAATTGCTTCCTGCTTCCTTCCTTCGCCCCACAACCGATGCACAATCCTGCTTCTTCTCACTCTCTCCCCCTCTTACCATTCACCCATACCCTCTTTCTCGTTCCTGCCCCTTTCCCCTTCCCCATTCTTCCCCCTTCCCCGCCCCCCTGTCCCTGCCCTTACTGCTGCTGCCCATTCTTCCTCATTCTTGTCCCTCTCCCACTCACAACTTACCCACACTCTGTTCCTCTTTCCTTTCCGCCTTCCCCCTCCCCTCTCCCCCTCTTCCCCTTTCCCCCTTCCCCCTTCCCCCATCCCCCTCCCCCCATCCCCATTCCCCTCTCCCCTCCGCTCTCCCCCACTCTCCCCTCCGTTCTCCCCCACTCTCCCCTCCGCTCTCCCCCACTCTCCCCTCCATTCTCCCCCACTCTCCCCTCCGTTCTCCCCCACTCTCCCCTCCGTTCCCCCCCACTCTCCCCTCCGTTCTCCCCCACTCTCCCTTCCGTTCTCCCCCACTCTCCCCTCCGTTCTCCCCCACTCTCCCTTCCGTCTCCCCCACTCTCTCCTCCGTTCTCCCCCACTCTCCCTTCCGTTCTCCCCCACCCTCCCCCTGTCTTTCACCCACAGGTGGTGCTGCAGCTATTCTCTGCCCAAGTGCGCACACAGCTCGCCTCACTGCTCTTCCTCTTCCCCATTCCCCCTTCCCCCTACCCCTGTCTCCCCCCACCCAGGTGGTGCTACAGCTCTTCTCCGCCCACGTGCGCGCACAGCTCACCTCGCTGCGCCAGCGACTCGACGACACGGCCCAGACGCATGCAGACAAACTGCGACACCTGCAGGACAGCATCGCCTCACAGCTCTTCCTCTTCCCCATTCCCCCCCCCCCCCCACCCCCCACCCAGGTGGTGCTGCAGCTCTTCTCCGCCCACGTGCGCACGCAGCTCGCCTCACTGCGCCAGCGCCTCGACGACACCGCCCAGACGCATGCAGACAAACTGCGCCACCTGCAGGACAACATCGCCGCCCGCCTGGATGCCGCCCGCAAGCGGCTAGAAGACGAGCGGCGCGCGGAGGGGGAGCAGCTGCAGCAGTGGGAGCGGCTGTGGGGGGTGGCGGCGGATAGCAGGTGGGGGGAGACGGTGGCTGCGCGGCACCGGAGGGAGGCAGAGCGGTTGAGAGAGGTGCAGGAGCAGTGGGCGGGGCGGGTGGTGGCGCTGCAGAAGCGAGAGGAGGAGGAGCGACGGGGCGTTGCGGAACAGCTGAAGAAGCTTATAGAGAGCCTGGAGAAGGGGGTAGGGGAGGAGGGAGAGGAGGGGGAGGGAGGGGGAGGGAGTGGCGGACATGGGGGAGATGGGGGAGGGAGTGGGGGAGGGGGGTTGGCGGCATGGAAAGAGATGGCTGGGAGGGAGATGGAGAGGGTGGGGAGGGAGGTGGAGGGGAAGGGGCGGGCGGATGGGGAGAGGGTGAGTGTGATGGAGGGGCAGTGGCGTGTGCGGTGGGAGGAGGTGGTGGTGGCTGCAGAGGAAGGGAGGAAGCAGCAGCATGTGACCATCCAGCAGCTCATGGAGGTGAGGGAGGGTCTGAAGGTGTTTGCTGTGGTGAGGTGGGATGTGATGGAGTGCTGCACATGGGCTATGTGTTCCGGTGAGCTAATGAGCAAAGGGTGTGTGTGGTGAGGCAGAGGAGGGGAGGAAGCGTCACCATGTGACGGTGCAGCAACTCATGGAGGTGAGGAGGGAGGGTGCTGGGGAATTTGCTGTGGTGCGGTGAGATGCAATGGAGTGCTGCACGTTACAGGTGCAATCGGGCTGCTAAGCCAAGGGCATGTGCACTGTAGTAGAGGCGGAGCGAGTGGTGGCAGCACAGGCAGCCCTCGACCAGTATGGCTTGGGTATAGTGCAGCACACCACACTGTCCCACTGCTTATGCATATGTCCCCACCAACTCCCTCCCCACAAACCCCCTTCCCTTGGCAGGCTGAAGCAGAGCGAGTGGTGGCAGCACGGGCAGCCCTGGACCGGTACGGGCTGGGTATAGTGCAGTGCAGCACTCACTCCTTCATTGCTTGTGCACATACTCCCTGTCTCCCCAATCCCTTCCCTTGGCAGGCTGAAGCGGAGCAAGTGGTGGCAGCGCGTGCAGCACTGCACCGGTTCTGGCTGGGCATAGTGCAGCGCAGCACGCTGTTTCATTCCTCACGCACATGTTCTCTGTCACCCCAATCCCTTCCCTTTGGCAGGCTGAGGCAGAGCAAATAGTGGCAGTGCGGGCAGCTCTGGACCGGTACGGGCTGGGTATAGTGCAGCGCAGCACACTGCTTCATTGCTTCTCCAATGCCCCCCCTCCTCCTACTCCCTCCCATGGGCAGGCTGAGGCAGAGCGGGTGGTGGCAGCCAGAGCAGCCCTGGACCGGTACGGGCTGGGCATAGTGCAGCGCAGCACGCTGCGATTCTCCCACCACCCCGACATTGCCGACGGCGACGCCGCCCTCCTCCTGCAGGCCCTCCGCCGCTTCCGCCCGCACCTCCTCCCCACCATCACCGCTCTCTCCTTCAGCTGGGGGTCTCCCCCTGGGTGTAAGAACATCACAGGGGAGGCTCTGGAGCATGCTGCATGCCTGCCGTCCCTCAAGGCACTGGATCTGCGCTGCTGCGCTGGGCTCACGCCTGATGGGCTGCGCCACGTCAGCAAGCTGACTCAGCTGGAGCGGCTGGAGCTGTGTGATGCGCGTGGCGTGACCGATGCTGTGCTGGCGCACGTGGCGGGGATCCCGGGGTTGCGGTATTTGGATGTTAGTGGGTGTGTAGGAGTGACGGATGCGGGTATGGTGCATGTGGCTCGCATGGTGGGGTTGAGGCAGCTGAGGATGACTGGATGCCCTCAGGTGACCAGCGTGGGGGTGAGATTGCTGCCTGGCTGTGTGCAGGTCACACGCTGAATGCAAGGAAAGTTTGTCGTTAATGGATGTATTATCTGACACTTATGGTAGCCATTTTGGTCCTGAATCTGTCATCGTTGTGTCAAAAGATGACTGAGCTTTGCTTCCCAGGTTATGTTGTTCAGCCATGCTTGCTGTCCTTTCGGCTCGACAAGAGGTTGGCGGTTTTATGATAGTGATTCATGGTGTGTTAGTGTGCCTTTGTCAGTATTTTTGTTTTTTGGGTTGCGAAGCAACCCTTTACGATCGATTTTGACAAATTTAATTTTCATATTTATGTTTTTTTATAAAACATGAAAATAAAGTTCATAAGCTACAGTACTACCCTCTCCACTGTGTATGCTTTTTTATTACGGTACAGTTCTAGCAGTTTTGTGCACATATGCTACACTACCGCATTTGTTTTATATATTTTACTGCTTTATGTTGTGACATTTGTATGTAATAAATTTTAAAGATATTAGTAATGAATTTCACACCACGCATGCTTTAATGAATGTAATGAGACAAGATGTATAGATGCATAATATCGATACATGGATGAAAATGCTTATGTATGCACGTGAAATGCTGAAATGCAACATACCTTATATCATACAAATGCGTGATAGTTAACGACCCAAAAACTAGGCTACCGCATCCCCTGCCTAGCATGGGGGGGAAGTCAATAGCAAAGTTTTTGAATAATCAACTACCACATGAAACAATACAATATGTCAACTTAAAAAAAAAAAAAGGTAAACTCTATCAAATCCAGTTCGAAGTGGCAAACACACGAGTCACTGAGTGCACCAATGAACTAATGAGAAATGATAGAATTTAACCTTCTTTTCACAATTGACAGACATGCATTGTTATTGCAATGATAGATGAAATAAATGCACGCACACACGCAAACACATCGTACACAAGCAAACACATTACACACTCAAAGGCACGAACACCAAACCCAGCCACAAACACGAGATAATAAATAACGTGCAAATCAACGTTAAAATGACAAAATGATAATCCTATGAGTGACCAATACGCATTTTCAGATTGAAATCGACTTCTTGACCAGCAAGGCTCCTGAGAAACGGGTTTAGGAAGTGGAAAAGAGGAACGTAAAGGAATAGTCGGTACAAACAAAAAACAGAAAAGAATATGAGGTGTGATGAAATGACGAGAAAAAAGGAATAACGAAGAAACGAAGGAAACAATACAAGGGCTAAGAAAAATGCCGTGAATAATGAAGGGTTAGAGCTGATAAATATCAAAGGAGAAGAATGTACCGAGGCATCGAACGAAAGTAAGGAACGGGAAAAGAGAGGGAAAAATACAACGAGACAGTAAACGAAAGAAAGAGAATGTAACGAATACGGAGAGCGAGAAACAACGGAGAGCAAGAGCAAGAGAGAGAGAGAGAGAGAGAGAGAGAGAGAGAGAGAGAGAGAGAGAGAGAGAGAGAGAGAGAGAGAGAGAGAGAGAAGAGAGAGAGAGAGAGAGAGAGAGAGAGAGAGAGAGAGAGAGAGAGAGAGAGAGAGAGAGAGAGAGAGCGAACGAAAGAGAGAGAGAGAGAAAACGAGAGAGGGACTTCAATAAATTATGGCTTCTAACAAAACATTTGTAGAATTATGAAAGACAGTTTAAAAAACCGCACGAAGGTAGAAATGGAACAAATACGAGGACTAAACGCGAGATGCGAGGAAAAGAAGCATTGCAGAAAAAGAGGCAGAAGACTCTTTAAGTATGTTAGTGCGACTATCTGTTCAAGAAAACGAAGCACACATAGCTACAAGTAGATGGGGCACAGATACTAGAAAAACCGAAAGAAGAGCGTCTAAGCTGATAAGAAAGGAAAAGGAGGAAACCGACAGGATAAGGAAATGACAAGATAGTTCTAGGAGTTAAGAATGTGAAGAATACACTTGGACTTACAAGAGAAGACACATTATTTAAGAGCGACCTAGCAAATCCGTCGAACCGATTTAGCTTCTAGATAATTGACAACTTACAGGTTTAGATTAGAGGAAAGAACATGAACAAGACTGCTCCTAGTATACTCTTGAAGTCTAAAAAGAACTAGCAAACATTAGTACGTGCGTTTGTCAATAGATTCTTACCTAGTAAAGATATGGCTGCTGCAGTCGTAGGAGAAGTGGAAGTTGCGGGAGAAGCTGGAGCAAGCTGGGGTAGGGACGATTCAGAAAGAGATGAAATGTTGGAAATGCAATTTCAATTTAGATGCAGCAAGTCGACACTTTATGACCTACGAACAAGGAAACGTACAAGTCGAAGCTGGAGGGAAGGAACAGAAAGCGCTTTAACATATACGTACTAATCTGCTGAAACTTTCAATTGAAGTAATGCACTTTGAGGTACCAAAATGAATAACAATTTAAAAGGAAACGAGGAGGAAGATAACGGGATTCGGAAAAAAAAAAAACGAGGTCGAATACTTAAACAGAAACGGAGATGGATCGTTGGGGACAAGTAGTAGGTGACTGAAAATTGAAGAGACTAGAAGGACGCGAGAGAGGCGGAATTGGAAGAGACGAACGGATGAGAGGGATAGCTACTAGGAACAACAACGGTTAATAACTATCCTAATTCTAGTTGATAGCTTACATAGGTTTCTCCTTACCTCTGAGTAGTAGGTAGGAACGTGACTACTTGCAGTAAGGAACGAAGCTTGGGTGGCGAGGGAAAAGAGAGGGAGAGGAGCGCTACACAAACCCTAAGATGTTTCTGATTTTGTCGCGTCGGTACTCTTGAAAAAAAATAAAGCTGTACTAACGATCACCAATTCTGGCTCAGTCGTTCAACTTAGGGCGGGGGCAGCGCGTTCATTTTCGCCACTTGTACAAAATTTTGACACCCGTCGAATCTGAAGGTTTCTGTAGCTTTTTTGTACCGCGCTTAGTTTGTGTCCCAGGTGGGACACGCGCGTCCAAAATCCGGCACAGGACCCGCCACATTTTTGCCAAACCGCCTACCCAACAAGGTAAACCTGTGCCCCCGAATTGAAGGTGGCGCCGTATGAATCTATATTTGTGAACCCTTGGATTTGCGAGGGTCGTACGCGCTTGACGAAGTCGTGGTGCGGTTTCGCTGACGTTTTCAAGGGCTTTCTCAAATGATGCGCGGGTTGTTCGCGGACGTTGTGGGAACGTGTTTTGTTCGATTGACGGCACGGAAAACAGCCACCGTTCATCCACTGTATACTCCGTCGTGTCCACAGGTTACCCTAAATCGGGGTTACAAACCCCTGAATCTGGTAACTGTTTCGGGCTAAGCCAGGAAAATGAACGCGCTGCCCCCGCCCTTAGACTATGCAAACAGAAGGTCCCATGTTCGAATCTTGCTGCCCGTTTTCCTTCAAATTGCTTGAAGTAACACTTTATTTCACGTTTACCACAACCTGTAAAGAATATGAATGTAGTCTTTCAAAAAAAATTTCCCTTGTTTATTTATGAATTAAAAACTATGATCAAACTTAACATAACTCACTTTTCTAGATACTTTGTGTTCTGACAACATACTATAATGAATGTGTATATATATGTTATGATAAAAAAACTTTATTTCTTACCAAATATTTTAAAATCATATTTTTCGTTACTGTAGTTGCTTCGCAACCCTAAGACGATTTCGTCGCCTCTTGTTTTTTTTTACTATTTACTTGATAGCATTAGGGTAAATTCCTGCGAAGACATGTCTTTGTGACGCGCTCCATGACTGTACCCTTATTTATTTTGAAATGAATGGGGGGTTGGGTAGGGAATTCGCACGATTTCTTTTCGGATGGAGAAGCATCATGCCAACAACTTTCAAGCAATGTGATTATTTGTTGCATTACATAGTGTTGTAGGCAGAATGAGTCCCCTTATGGGTAGTTTCACAAAAATTTCCACACACTGATAATTCTCAGAACTCAAAAAGCTCAATAGGGGCTTAATATGGTAATGTGTCAAACATTGTATGTTTATATTGTGTAGGCTGTAGTGGGTTACACCTTAGGGGGTACACAAAGTTAGGGTTTCCTACTTGTACCAAACTCTGTGCTAGTTCATCCCATTCCTGCTCAGTTATTTCTGACATGGTTTCAGAGCAGGTCCTTCGCTAGGACTGTTCTTAGGGCCCACCGACTTACCTACCTGCTTACCTTCGCTTGTTTCCGGCCCCGCTGGCCCCGTCGATCTAGCACGATCTAGCGGCCCTGCGGCCCCTTCGAATTTTTTTTTCCTAGCGGCCTCTCACGGCCCCCGTCGCGTCGCCCCTTAGCGCCCCGATCGGCCCCGTCACGCCGCCCGCGAACCGCACAGCGCGCCGCGCTCACAGCCCGCGAACCGCCCACGCACAGCCCGCGAACCGCCTGCGCAGCCCGCGACCAGCCCGCGCAGCCCGCGCACAGCCCGCGAACTGCCCGCGAGCAGCCCGCGACCTGCCCGCGAACCCCCGCGAGCCGCCCGCGACCCGCTTACGCAGCCCGCGAGCAGCCCGCACAGCCCGCGCTGAGCCTGCGCGGCTCGTGCGCTGACCGCCGCCGGCCCGCACGCTGCCCGCACAGCTCACATACGGCCCGCACGGCCCGCGCGCTGCCTGCTCCCGGCCCGCCGCTGCTGAGCCCGCAGCCGCCCGCGCACCGCTGCTGCTGAGCCCGCCGCCGCCCGCGCACCGCCGCTGCTGCGCCCGCCGCCGCCCGCGTATCACCGCTGCTGAGCCCGCCCCTGCTGCGCCGGCTCTCGCTGCCGCCTGCTGCGCCTGTGCACCACTGCAGATCCTACTACTACACTTCCTGCTACTGCTGCTTGTGCGCCACTACAGTCCGTAGGCCCCACCGGCCCCGCTGACCCTGCGCACGCCTTTTCAGTGACTTTACTGCTTCTACTACTGCCGCTGTCGCTATGGCTAGTCCTCCTGTTCTAGCTTTCGACGCCGAGGGCCGTCCGGTCAAATTCGAAACCTGGCTAGATGACCTGCACCTTTTCCTACAGCTCACTGCCAAGGAAGATATT